GGAAAGTGTTGAAGGTTGATGAGTTAATTGAGTAAAATAAGGTCTAAAAGAATCCACTGGATTTAGAAACAAAAAAGGTGACTGTTGCAAGTACAGTTTCAGTAGAGTGATGGGAGCAGAGGTCAAATTACACTGGCTTACAAAGTGGATGGGAAAACGGGGAAGTAAAGACTCTATGTGCAATACACTTATAAGAAGTGTGGCTATTTAGGAGAAGACAGAGGAGGCAATAACTGGAAGGAGACACTGGTTTTTATTCAGATGGGAGAAATGTTGTCATGGATCCAGCAAAGAAGAAAATGGTAAAATTATATGGGAAAGAAGATAACTGAGAGTGGGGCTCCTGAAAAAGGAATAAGGTAGGGAAGCCAAAGTGTTGGTGAAGAAATTCACATAGGGGCAGTGCCCGTGGCTCAAAGGAGTAGGGTGCGAGCACCATATGCCAGAAGTGGTGGAGTGGTGGGCTCAAACCCAGCCCCTACCAAAAACTGCAAAAAAAAAGAAAGAAAGAAAGACAGGAAGAAAGAAAGAAATTCACGTAGAAAGGGAGAGGAACATTTGCATTATGAGAGAAGGAAAGCAAACATGTTGTGATTAGCACATTGGTAGGTTTGGTGATAGGAAGCTGAGGGAATTCTTGTTTGATAATTTCTATTTTCTCTGCCAAATAGGAACATGATATTGGCCAGTGAGAGTGGTATATGAGGTCGAAAAGAGCCGAGAAAAACTGAAGAAGCAGCAGTGGAGAATAGGAGCAAAATGACTAAGAGCATCCATGCTTCTAGGCGGTTATGCTGGCTGTGTTGAGGCTGGTGACCATTAAGCAGCAGTCTGCATGTTTACATAATATGCGTTTTTCCCCCAACAACATTCAGCCACCTGGTGGTGGGTGCAGAGAGGTTATGAATTGATCTAGGTTTGAGTTTTACCAGGTCAATGCAATGGAAGGCCAAAGGACAAAGAAGTTAAGGATCATGGCAAAAGAGTGGTTGAAATGAAGGGCCCTAGAACCTAAACTGGTTAGGAGAGTGAAAAAAGTCTTATGGACTGAAGGTCCCAATGAGTCAGAGAACCCATATTTTGGAAATAGTTGAATGAGAGATTTGTGATCAGAAAGTAGAGTAATAAAGTTTGAGTGAAAAAAAAAAGATAATGTTGGGTGCGGTGGCTCTCACCTATAATCCCAGCACTTGGGAGGCTGAGGCGGGTGGATTGCCTTTGTTCACAGGTTCAAGACCAGTCTGAGCCAGAGCAAGACCTCTTTCTAAAAATAGCCAGGTGTTGTGGCAGGCACCTGTAGTCCCAGCTACTTAGGAATCTGAGGCAAGAAAATCGCTTAAGCCCAGGAGTTTGAGGTTACTGTGAGCTGTGACACTACAGCACTCTACTAAGGGCAACAAAGTGAGACTCTGCCTCAAAAAATAGATAAATTGATAAATAAAGTTTGAGTAGTTTCAGGCCAAGGCCCAGGCCATGGAAGTGAAAGGCCAAAGTGGAGTATAAGAGATAATCAGGATGCTGCAATGGCCATTGAAATCCCACTGGATGGTGGCAGACTTGAGGAGGAAAAAGAGAAGTGGATGCTTGTGTGTTAGGTACCAAAGTATTTTTTTTTTTGAGACAGAGTCTCAAGCTGTCACCCTGGGTAGAGTGCGATGGCATCATAGCTCACAGCAACCTCCAACTCTTGGAGTCAAATGATCCTCTTGCCTCAGTTTTTCTTTCTCTCTCTCTCTCTCTCTTTTCTTTTTTTGAGACAAAGTCTCACTATGTTGTCCTTGGTAGAGTGCTATGACATCACAGCTCACAGCAACCTCAAACTCCTAGGCTTAAGTCTTGCTCAACTTCCCAAGTAGCTGGGATTACAGGCACCTGCCACAATACCCAACTATTTTTTGGTTGCAGTTGTCATTGATGTTTAGCTGGCCCGGGCTGTGTTCGAACCCGCCACCCTTGATGCATGTGGTCAGCACCATAACTACTGTGCTATGGGAGCCATCTCAGTTTTTCTATTTTCAG